ATAAGGAAGAATAGTCAATATTTGATGATCTCAAGTTAGAAGGTACTTATCATCTATATAAATTATTGATTTATGTGAGAAATTCAAATCAATAAGCATAATGTTTTTTTAATGTTTCTCAGATTATCATCTGTACCTCCTTATGGCTCTCGATAATGGCATGCAAAATCTTAAGAACCCTTTCATGCTAAATTTAGTTATTGCATTCACTCATATGGAGTCGATTTGAACTAAGAGGTGGTGGTTCAAACCCACCAGCCTCCCCTTGGAATCCCTACACACGGTCGCTATGACTCGAAACCAATTCACTGACACTTAACAACCACACAAGGAATTTACTCAGTGGACTGTTTCTGAATGCTTACTATGGACTCAGCAGCACTGGTAGCGCAGTGGTTAAGTTCTCAACGACTAAAGTTAGCAATTTGAACCCAACAGCTGCTGAATTCATGGGAGAAAAATGTGGCAGTCTGCTTCCCTAAAGATTACAGACCTGGAAACCCCATGAGGCCGTTCTAGTTCTACTCTGCGCTGTAAGGTTGCTACGAGTCAGAAGCCACTCACCAGAAGTGGGTTTGATGCTTTTGGTTTATTATGTTCTAGGTACCAATTCCCAATTTAGATTCTGGAGCAGATCTGTGAACAATATAAAGGAGTTTACATTTTTGTCAGGAAACAATGGTTTTATATTTTTGTGAGGAAAATCAGTTAACTAATGATCAAGCGATAAAATAAGATCATTTCAGATTCAAGTATGACGGGACTAGGCTACATGCTAGACAGTATAGAGTAAGGAACAGGGTTGATAGCGTAACACTCACAAAAAGTATAGAGTAAGGGAAAAGGTTGATACTGTACTTACAGTGTCGTAAGGAGTGAGATGTAGATGACAGAAACCCACATGTATGTGATAACCAATCTCCCAGCATCAGTTAGAATAGCTTTCCCTCTGATGATACTATTCCTTTTCTTGTTGTTGTTGTTAAGTGCCATTAAGTCGATTCTGATTCACTGCAATCCTGTCTAGGGTTTCCGAGGCTTTAGGTCTTTGCAGAAGCAGAAAGCCTCATCCTTCCCCATGGAATGGCTGCGAGTTTTAAACTCCTGACCTTGAGGTGAGCAGCCCGACTTGTAACTGCTACGCTACAAGTGACCTTTTAAATTCATCGGAAGGGCCCTGGGACTGATAGATGCTGTTCTTGATAGAGAAAAACTGAGACCAATGAGATACACTTGCATCTAATGCTGTTTCATTTCTTCCTGTTTGATCTCATCCCTCTTGCATATTTTCAGACTATAAGGAGTGATGTCCTATCCCACCTAGAAACCTTGAATTTTATTTAAGCCCATTTAAAAGCTTAACATCTTCACACCTCCAAATTCTATTAATATATTTAATATAGTTGGTCTTAACAACTTTATCTGACAGATAAATCTACATTTTTAGAGAATTCTTTTATATCTAGTTAATTTTGCTTATAAATATGATAGTGTAGTGGTTACGAGTCAGCCTGCTTACCTCAAGGTCAACAGTTCAAAACTACCAGCTGTTTCGTGGAAAAAGGTGAGGCTTTCTGCTCCTGTAAAGATTTGCAGCCTCAGAAATCCTGTGCAAGGTCGCTAATCCTGACTCCACAGCACACCACCACCATAAATAGGGTGATAATGGTTTTCTTAAATGTTGTAAACTTTCTATGCATTCTTAATAAGATTTGAATATATAATCACAACTCAAATGAAATTTATTGAGTTATACATTACACATTGGAATGATTAAATCCGTTAGGCCAAGTTTTCTTTAAAATTTCGAAGTGTAATAAATGCACTATGATGGCTCATGTATGTCTTCTTCACTGAGCCACGATTCTTGTGGTTTGGCAGTTATACAATGATGTAGTTTGGCTCTTGTCTAATGATGCAGTAAGACAGTTGTATAATGATGTAATTACCCCCATGATGTAATTTGATGCCATCGACTGGTCAGTTGTAAGGGGAGTTTCCTCAGGGAGGTGCCCTGCATCCATATAAATCTGGATTTTTAGGCAGTTTGCTCGTTTGCTCAGAATCCTGTATCTGACTTGCCATCACCTGACCTCCAGCTCTTAGGATTTGTCAGCAACCTACTGTCTGACCAGCTGACCTTGGGTTCATCAGCCCCTGCATCTGTGTGAGTCAGCAGAAGGTGCCACTCTGATGCCTGTCCCAGGAGCTTGCAATTTGCCAGTCTCGACAGCTGTATGAGCATTTCCTTGAGCTCAATCTTTCTCTCTCTCACTACAACATATACATGTAAATTACTGTTGTCATATGCTGTCAACTTGGTTTCAACTCATAGTGACCCTGTATAGAGATTCCGAGGAGTGATTGGTGGATTTAAACCACTGACCTTGCAGTTAGCAATCCAGTGTTTATCCTGTCAGCAGTTCAAAACTACCAGCTGTTCCATGGGAGAAAGATGAGGCGTTCTGCTCCCATAAAGATTTACAGCCTCGGAAACCCTGTAC